AGGTCAAGGAAAGACCCTATCTCAAAGGATGACACCTGGTGTTGGCCCCTGATCTACACAAGCATGTGCACACATTTGTGCACCTCCCTCAACATGCATAAACACACACACACACACACACACACACACTGTGCTATATTAAATTGTAAGGGTGTCCTTTAAAGACTGCAATTAAACTCAACAAAGGAGATAATATGTTTTCCAAAATAAACCCTAAACATCTTTTTTGTTTGTTTGTTTGCTTGCTTGTTTTGTTTTTTTTTGAAACAGGTTTTCCCTGTGAACTGCCCTGGCTGTCCTGCAACTCACTCTTTGTAGACCAGACTGGCCTTGAACTCACAGAGACCCACCTGCTTCTACCTCCTGAGTGCTGGAATTAAAGATGTGCATCACCACACTGGGCAATCCCTAAACATCCTGAACTCACTTGTGCATGGCTGATAAAGCTGGGGTCTTGGAGATCACTTTTGATCTCTTATGCAGCAACAGTTGGCAGAGTTTCTTCTGCCTCAAGCTCTCCTTGCTGGCTTCTTCCATGAGCCTAGGCATTGTCCTTGACTTCATCAGGGCATTCAACTGTTTGCTGCAATTCTGACTCTGAAGTCCCTTGCACACCCTGAGCTTTGGAGTTAAATTCCTTTTTGCTGACTTTGGAAGTGAACCAGGGCTCTGAGGAATGACTGGAGGAGAAGCTAGGAGGAAGGGTGGAGGGGAGCAGGAGAGTCTTAGGCTGGTCAGTCTGCATGGACACAGACCATAGGCACTGGCACCTCTTTTTGAGCTGCCTCCTCCTAGATGCTGCTCCTCCCTGTTCTGATAGCTTTTCTACATTCTTCTCTTCCTCCCAGTGACCCCCTAAAGCCCCAGGTCATTGGCTTGGCTTGCCCTGGCTCTCATGCTAGCCCTAGGTTTTTCCCTAGGAAGGAGGAGGGTGCATTTGTACCCACAAGGTTTGGTGTGGAGGAGGATGACCCACCGGACTGGGTTCACTGACTCACTTCCTCTTAGCCACTTCCCTGCCCCAGTTCGTGACACCCTGAGAACAGAGGGGGTTTCCGTCTCTGTCCACTCTGGGTATTGATCTGAATATCCTCCCTCAGACTTTGCATTCTTCTTCATTGCTTCCTGTCACCCCAGGATTCTTAAAGATTAAAGAAATCATTGTTGAAATTTGTGGAGCGATTTCCTCAGATCTGGCCTGGTGGTGACAGGAGACAAAGCTGTGGATTCCTTCCAGACTAATGTGGTTTGAGCGAGCCAGACCCCCCTGAAACAGCGTTCCCGGTGATCCAACATTCAAAACAGCTTGAACAAGGCAGCCTAAGTGGTGGATGAATTCTGATTCTGGACCACTAGTGGAGGGATCACTAGTGGGTTCTGGGCTGCACATCTCCCAGCAGGCAGTAGAGAGTCAGGGGTGGGCTCCCAGACAAGTTCACTGCAGAGACGCCCCAGTGAGCTGAATATTTCCGAAGTCCCTGCCTTTCCACGACTGCTGTTGCTTAGGGAAACGGAAGTAAGAAAGGGTGACGGTGGGCGGAGCATGAGTAAAGCGCATTATGAAAGCGGAACAAGGAACCCGAATATATTGTGCAGTTCGTATGCGCTCAAAACCAGAATCAGTTTCTTAGGGCAGGTTTAGATGCAACAACTTTGGGAAGTATTACTATAACCAAGTGGCAAGTGGGATGATCACCACAGGATAGCTCTGGGAATCGCACAGAAGGCTCTAGGATCCTGAGGGCACGGAGAGGGCTCTCACCCATCTGCATTTCCCCCGGAGTAGTGCACTGCATGTCTTAAGCCCTGTGTTCAAGTGACTACCCGGGCACCTTTAGAGCAAAGGGACAGCCCTGCAGCTCAGGAATTCCAGCTGCTTTGGGGATGAAAAGGTCAGATTACTCACCCCTGAGCGTGTTTCGTTCTGACCAATAGAAAACACCTTGGGCTTTTCCCTGTTTCCAGTTTGCTATTTCACTTCCTGGATTGAGGGTGGGGTGGTTAAAGGCTCGCACGTAGTTCTCAAGTTTCCAGTGGGGCTCTGGAATTCAGGCAGGAGCACTCTTCAAAATATTGGGTGCAGCAAAGAAAGGATTTAGAGGTGAGGGTACAACCTGGGCTGTGGATGGTACTCGCCAAGTAACAGAGCCCATCCTGGAAGACATTCCCTGGCCGGGATTTGTAGCCCTGGATTGTTCCTCGGGTGACTCCAGACTGCCTCACTTCACCAACGGTCCGACTGGGAAGCAGGTATGAGCCCCGGACTCCAAACAACACAGCTAGGCAACCCGCAGAACTCAAGGGTAAGTGGCCTCTTCGTTATAGCCTACTCGAGCCTCAACCCCTTCTGCCCTTTCTGTCCCTCTTTTCCTTCTCCGGGTACAATCTAGTGGCCCTGGAACCATATGGAGGGTCGTCAGTACAAACATTATCTCTCAGGGGACCTTGGTTAGTTTATGTTTCTACTTTGGAACAGTGCCTTTTGGAGTCTTCATAGCTCAATTTGACGAAGTACAGGCTGTGGAGGACTTGGGCACCTGGTGAGCCGAGGGTGCGGCCAAATGCCTTTGTCTGCTTGCGGTGGGGGGAGGGCTTAAGAAGTTCAGGCAGAGAGCTCCGGTTCTGCTTTGTGTGCGCCTGAGCTGATGAGGCAGCGCCTGCTCCTGTCCCAGTGTGCTTTCCTGCCTGTCTGCAGTGCTGGTGTCTGAATGCCATGTTCTCCCCCTCTGAAGACAACTAACAAGACACCTTAAATCCCAAATCAAAATCCTAGAGAATTTTCCCCAGTGCACACTATAATTTCCGGGTAGGTTTAAAGGTGGGGAATCCATGTGTAAACCAGACTTCAAGATTCAGTGAGGTTAATGAATTTATATGCCAGGATTTGTGGCTCAACTGTCCTGTTTCTGAAGGATTGTGTCCCAGATAAATGAGGTGGTCAGTGTCCCAGGCTAGTCCATAACTCTTAAATATGACTGTATTGTGTCCTCCAGGAGTTCCAAATTTCCTGGGGACATGAGTATTGTTCTTTGGCACTTTGGTGTGAGATGAGATTTCTGTCCCCTTTCCATGTGGTCAGGATCCAAGGCTCAGGACAGGGCCTAATAAGGAAGGTGCCGAACAGGAAAGGCAGGGAAGGAATGAGGAACTGAGGCTGCTCAGCAGTGCTTAACACAGGGTGGGGCCGCAGCTTTAACTCTTTACTGGGCAGAGAGGAAACTGCAACCTCCTGGGCAGTGCGGGCTGCTTTAGATACAGTTCACTTTAGCTGTGGTTTTCTTTTAGTATTTTAGAGGGGAGGGGGAGACACACAGGGTCTTGGTGTGTACCCTAGGCTGGCCTGCAATTCACTGTGTATGTTCTGCATGCCTCAAGTCACAATGTTCACAACAGCCTCCCAGGGCCAACACCATGCTAGGCTCTTTGCAGTGCTTTGGGTGGAGGTCTCATGGTGGTCTCTGGCAGGGCATTAGGGAAAATGGGCTCACTTCTGGGTGGCTCAATCACACCTATCCCCTCTTTCTGTGATTTCTTACCAGCCTGCAATTGTGGCAGAGAAAGAGGATATCTGAAGGTCATTGTTTCCTGCCAAAAGATTACTGATTAGACACCCTGTGCCCAAGATCCCTTCTGAGAGAATTTTCCCAGAGTCAGGGCTATAATTTGAGAAGAAACTACCTGGTTAGACCCAGAAGTCCCTCTCTTTGCCTACCAACATTGGGGTGTTAGACACATAAAGTCAGCTTTTTTTTTTTTTTCCATTCTTGGCTTTTGATGTGGGTGCAGGTCCTCATGCTTGCATAACAAGCACATTTCCTACAGAGCCACCTCCCAGCCATAGGGACCTTAAGTTTGACTTCATGCTGAGGCTGAGGGCCTGCCCAGCTAATCAGCAAAGGGGAAGGAGGTGCCCAGGAGATTAGCAGAGCCAGTGACTTTCTTTTTTTGTTTTTGTGTTTTTGTTGTTGTTATTATTATTTGGTTTTGTTTGTTTGTTTGTTTTTCAAGACAGGGTTTCTCTGTGGCTTTGGAAGCTATACTGGAACTAGCTCTTGTAGACCAGGCCAGTCCTGAACTCACAGAGATCCACCAGCCTCTGCCTCCTGAGTTCTGGGACTAAGGGCATGCGCCACCAACGCCCAGCCGCTAGTGACTTTCTGAACCAGCCAGTTATCACCCAAAACTCACAAGGCTCAAGGCTCATGAACAACAGCAAGTCGTGGCTCATACAAAAGCAGGAGGCACATGGGCAGTATCTTCTGAGAAAGGCAAGAGCCTAGACAATAGACAAAGTCATTCACACACTTGAGGTGATCTCTACTTGTCAAAAATGGACTCGAACTTTTTCTCACACCACATTACACAAGCTGACTAAAAAATGAACTAAACATGTAAAGGTAAGACCAGAAAAGGAAACATAAGAAATAGAAAAATTACTAACAGAAAAGGAAACATAAGAAATAGAAAAATTACTAACAGAAAACACAGAAGAGGAGTTCCATGACATTGGCTTTGGCAAAAGTCATTTGGATGTTGCCTTGATTAGCTTTACTGTCAGTGTGACAGAACCTAGAATTATCTGAGAAGAGTATATCCATTGAAGGATTGCCTCTATCTGATTGGCGTGTAGCCACATGTATGAGATTGTCTTGATAATTGATATAGGAGTGCCTAGACCCACTTTGGACAGCCCTATTCCCTAGGCAGGGGAATCAAACAGAAGAAAGCAAGCCAGCCAGCAACATCCTCCAGGGGTCCTGTTATATTTCTTTGGCTGTGAATTGACTTCTTTGGTCAGAGATAATGTTGTTTGGAATAGCAACAGGCCTGTCTTCAAGTTCCTGTTTTGACATCCTTCAGTGGTGGACAGTGATCTGGAAGCATTTGCAAATAAACCTGTTTTATCCCAAAGTTGTTTATGGTCAGGATATTTGTCACAGCAACGACAGGAAACTAGTGCAGAGGTTTCCTAAGCCACAAGCAAAAAAGTCCCAGTGTAGACCTGCGATTCCATCAAACTGGAATGTACCCACACAAGCAAAGGAAGCAGTAAACAAAGAGAGACAATCTACAGAGGGAGAAAAGATTTGTGACACAGTCTAATAAAGGGTTAATATCCAGGTAGATAATGCACTTAGCCAAATGTAAATAAATAGTAATTGCAAAATGGACTGAATGGATACTAATCATAAATCATTTCAAAGCTGAACTAGACAGATGGCTCAGTGGTTGGTAGGAGCACTGGCTGCTCTTCAAGAACACCAGATTTCAATACCCAGTATCCACATGGGTTTACAGTCAACCTGTAACTCCAGTTCCAAGGGGTCTGGTGGTATCTTCTGGCCTCTAGGCTACTGCATGCACATGGCATCCAGAATTACATGCAGGCAAAACACTGGTACACATAAAATACCTAAGTCTAAAAAATGGTGTAACTAAAGCCCATGATACATAAAGATGAAAACCACACAGATTCCACTGAGGGTTTATTTAGAGGAGGCTGAATACAATATTAAGTATTAGAAAGTGGTAAAATGAGATTGAAAATTGGAAAGGCTTAACTACACTTGTAACATTACATCTGAAAACCCAGTAGGCATATAAGTTCGGCTAATGAGTGCAAAGGCAGAGGGGAAAGAACCACTTCTCCACCTGCACAGTGACTGGTCCAGTGGAACATACGTAGCCAAGGATTATGCTCTTGGCTCCACAGTACAGAATTTGCTGTCTCCAGGGTTTTTCTCATTCTAAAGGCTCTGTGTGTTTTACAGGAAAGAAATTCAGCTTGAAAATGCAAAGGCTGATAGGGAAATGGTCATCACTGTTGATCAAGAAACAGATTGTCCTGAGCTGGTACTATATGTAGGAGCCATCACACTTGGGGAGAAGCATAGAAAGAAAATGAAGAACCCTCTCAGAAAACGGGAGAGTGAACACATCTCTCAGAGCTATGTGTGCTCTCCTGAACTCTGGAGGTGGGGTGATCAAGATTAAAATTGAAAATGAAAATTATAGCCTCAACAGGGATGGCCTGGGACTGGATTTGGAAGCCTCTCTTTGTAAATGTCTTCCATTTGTGGGGGAGGCACCTAGACTTCATGGAGCATGGAAGCTACTTTTACATCTGTGTGAAACCCTGGAGTGTGGACATCTTTGGGTCACCGATTGGCACCCTGAGAACCAATTTGTACGTAAGAACCTGGTCATCCTCAGTTGAAGTGGTTGCCTCTGATGCTCTCGAGTTTCTCCAAGACCTGGAGGAAACTGGAGGGAGATCCTGTGTCAGACCAGAGCCTCCTGTAAGCAGAGCCTGCCCTGGAGTAGAAGAAGAGAGTCTCCTGGAGGACCTGGCTGCTGCAGTTTTCAACAAAACCCAATTTCAGTACCAAGAAGACGTTCCTTCACCAGGTCAGCTTATGCTGAAGTGGCATTGCTTTCAGGGAAACAGCTTCGAAAACACATTAAAGAGCTTATCCCTCGAACAGTTTCTGCCTTTGCAAACACTGAAGGGGGATATTTGTTCTTTGGTTTGGATGGTGACAAGCAACAAATAATTGGTTTTGAAGCAGATGAAAGCGATCTTGGGCCCCTAGAGAGTGAAATAGAGGAGTGCATCCGACAGCTGCCTGTCACTCACTTCTGTGAGGAGCAGGAGAAGATAAAGTACACATGCAAATTCATCCAAGTCCACAGACAGGGAACTGTGTGTTCATATGTCTGTGCGCTCAGAGTAGAGAGATTCTGCTGCGCCGTGTTCGCTGCAGAGCCGGAATCCTGGCATGTGGAAGGCGACCATGTGAAGAGGTTTACCACGGAGGAATGGGTCAAGTGCCTGATAGCTGGCAAGCCAAGTTCAGGCACCACTGGTGCGTGAGTTCACACAGGTCTACTGGGCATGTATTAGCTGCTGCTCTCAAGGAACACATATGGTTCAACAATGCCATTCTTTTAACCTGTCACAGCTGAAGTACTTCATGGCCACAAGTGGGCTAAGCCTGCAAGTCCCTGAAGCTCTGTAACTGGAAACTGAGAAAGAAATGCAGTCATGAGATCAGGCTTCTGTCAAGCTTGTGGGACTTTTTTTTTTTTTTTTTTTTTTTTTTTTTTGGTCTTAGACCTAGCTCGAGGCCAGCCTCGAACTCACAGAGATCAACCTGTTTCTGCTTCCTGAGTGCTGGCACTAATGGTGTGCACCACCAACATCTGGCTTGACTTTTCTCCCTTCCTTTCTTTCTTTCTTCCTCCCTTTCTAACTTTTATTGATTCTCTGTGGAACTATTGCATCCCAGTTCCACTCATCTCCCCACCCCTCCAGAGCTGCCCTCTGCCCTTGCAACCTCTAACAAGAAGGAAAGCAATAAACAAAAAACTAAATAAAGATTTACAATGAAAAAGATCTCACCATGGAAGGTATGGTGTGTTGCACACAATAAACACTTTTTCTTAAACATCTTTACTTGCAAATGTTTATTTCAATGAGATATTGGTCTAGTTCCAAGCTCTCTGGCTTCTGCTGTCAATATTGGATCCTGCCCTGGACCCCTTTCAGATACCCTACTGTAGTCCTGTGTCATGGAGATCCTGCAACTGTGGTTCCTCAGGACCAGCCCCTTCACATGTTCCAGAAGGTCACAGATGGGGTAGATGCTGAGGTGAGCCAACTTATTTCTGTGGATCTGGGCCTGGGTGGTCATCTGGGATGGCCAGCCAGCCCACCCACTCCCTTGCACCTGTGCCACCAGGGCCAGCTCTGCCCAATGCCCCTGTGAGTGGCAGGACCAGCTCACCTGGGTGCCACAGCTGGTCATGGGCGTGGCTAGCTTTCAGGCTCTGCTGCCCAGGAGAGCTGCATAGGACATTTCTTACCTAGTGATTGATGTAGGGAGAACCCAGCCTCTGCATCGGCTCCTGCCCCCATATTTCTGCATGGTTTGAGTTCTTGTCCCAGCTTCCTTCAATGCTGACTACACCGTGGAAGTGTAAACCAAGTACATCCCCCAAAACTTGCCTTTTGGTCATGGTGTGTCCATGCAGCAACAGGAACCCTAACCAAGACACCTGCTTACTGTGATGTCTATGAGGAAATTCTTACTGTAGCCCACTGGCTGAAATCTCAGTGATGGAGTGAGGAGGGTGATATCATGGGGGTGGGTGAGGCCATGGCTGTGGGGGTGTGGGATAGATTGACAGGAGCAGGTTTTTGTTTGTTTTTTGAGAGAGAGTTTCTCTGTGTAGCTCTGTCTGTCCTGGAATTCACTCTGTAGACCAGACTGGCCTCACACTCAGAAATCTGCCTACCTTTGCCACCCTAGTGCAAAGATTAAAGCTGTGTGCCACCATTGCTGTCCTAAGGAAGGCATATTTTATCCCTATTGCATCTGTGGGTCTTCTTAGTGAGGCCCCTTATGTCTCCATCCTGGGTGTCACTCAGAATAGGTGAGCAACATTAAAATAAAATCACATATAGAAATGAAAATCAAAGGTGCCCACTGTACTTCCAGTTACCATAGAACCTATAATGTGCCCTCTGCTGTGGCAATGGCATGACTAGAATGGGTACAATCATTTTTCCAGTTGGATTTAAGGTCATATCCATTCCCATGGAGGGAGCCTGTGCTTACTGAAAGCCAAGACAAAGGCCATGGTTGCAGATGTCCCAGGACCCATGGCAAAGCAACTACTTCAGTTGTAAAACAGAGATGTGCTTTTCAATCTAACTGCTATCTAAATACTGGTCCTTATGGATTATCATTGCAGCCTGTCTCATAAAGACATTTTCTTCCCTTACAGTGGGACTGGATAATGCAAAGACTCACAGCTGCTCACAGTCCCCAGTAAAAGTGACTACTGTTATGGTTCAGTGGACCAATATTCAGACTGAACATGGAGAAAATGAGCAGGTCTCAGCATCACCTGCTCCAAAGCTTTGGGATCACAAAAGAGGTGATCCCCCAAAAAGATATCATCTTCAAAGTTTGTTTTTAGGATGACTCAGAATAAACCTTATTGTGATAAATGAAGAGAAATAGCATGTTTTTTTTTTTTTTTTTTTTTTTTTTTTTTTGAGGTAGGTCTTATGTAGTTCAGACAAGTCTTGAACTCAGTAGGTCAGAGAGGATGAGAAGAATTCATGATCCTTTTGCCTCAAACTACACAAGTGTTAAGTGCCTTAGCTTTGTGATGATAAAATCTAATTTTTATTTTTCCAAATAAATAATAAGGCAATTATAAAATCACTATCCCAGGCTTTCATAAAGAGCAAAACACGACACTCACAGTATACACAAGCCCTAACATGGGTCTTTAAAAGTCAGTGAGTACTGGGGTAGAGAGATGGTTCAGTGCTCTATCAGAACACTTACTGTTCTTTCAGAAAAACAAGGTCAGTTCCCAGCCTCACATGGTGCTTCAAAACTATCTGTAATTTAGGTCCATGGGCTGTGATCTGTCTTCTGACCTCTACAGGCAACGTGCACACCGTGACACAGACATGCATACAAAGAGAACTTTCATACACATGATGTAAAAGCAGAGAAATCTAAATATTTTTAATCTAGTTCAGTAAGGTTTGATGGTACATGCATATAGCATTAAGAGGACAAACAAGAGACTATATAAGGTTCTAGAGTCAAGCGAAGCTACAGCCAAAATCTTGTTTTAAATAAACAAAAGATAAAAGTGTTTGCTCAGGGTGTAACTCAGACACCTGCTTACTGTGGCCCAAGTTGGATACCTATGAATCAGTCCAGCCCCACCAAAGCCAATCAATGTCTATTACACATTTACAGCTTAGTTCTGCTTGTTGCCCTCTGAAGAACACTTTGGTTATATTTCTGGTTGCTGTAACATCATCCTGAGGGCAGAGTCCATCTTGGCAAGGACGGACTGCTGATAAGAGGGCCTCTAGTTATAAGGGATGCAGTATGAGGTGACAGGTCATACTGTGTGCAAATTGAGCAGTCAGAGAGAAGCAAATGCTAGTTTCCTGGTGCACTTCCCTGTTTATTCATCCCAGGACACCAGACCATGGGATAAAGACCCCATACCAGGGTGGGTCATGCCTCCTAGCTAAACCTTCTTGGAAACTTTCTCACTGAAAAAAAGCAGAGATGTGTGCCCTAGAAACTTCTAAGTGCAACCAGGCTAACATTGAAGATTAGTCATCATCTTATCAATAATGTCATGGGCCAGTGCTATAAGCTGAATGAGTCATCTTCACCCACCTCGTTCCTATTTTGAAGCCCTAATGTGGACATGATGCCACTAAGGAAGTGAGTGAAGTTAAACCAAGTCCTAAGGGTGGAACATCACATGGACACTAGTGTCCTTATGAGGTGACATGCCAGAGCACTTGCTTCCCTGTCCTTATGTACAGGTGACCACGAGGGCACAGGATGACTGGCAGCTAAGGAAAGAGGCCTCTGAATGAGCCCTGCTCTGCTTAATCTTGGTCCTGGACTCCCTAACCACAGGAACTGTGGGAAATGAATTTCTATTAAGACACTCAGTCTCTGGTATCTCCTACTGCAACAAAGAAGACTAAGGAGGCAGCACAATGTTTATTCTTCTAATACTGGCTGACTTTGCTATGTCAACCTAGGCTCAAGGTGTAGCTTTAATCAGTGGACAAAAGCATGTTAGCATTTGCTAGCCCCATGTTTGCTTAGCCTCTAGAACTAAAAACCAAAAACTCTTAAGGTTTTTTAATTAAATGTATTTATTTGTGTGAGAGAGAATGTGGATGAGTATATGTGTGGCTCTCCTTCAAGCCTGTCTTGATTTCTCTTCAGTATATTGCAAATTGTTAGGAGATGTTTTCCAAGGTGACCAGGTGACCCTTCTGAGCCCTGAGACAGGCCTCCTGCTGTTGTACACACAGATCTGGAGGAGCTGGGATAGCCACGTTTGTTTGGGTTGAAATGATTTTTAGCCAACATATAAAAAAATGTGCCTCATTATGTATTCACACCTACATGTGCCTCATTATGTATTCACACCTACATGTACCTCATTATGTATTCACACCTACATGCCATTGTACATCGCTCACATTCATCTCTCCATTATCCTCCTTCCTAGCTCCTCTCTCCTGATGGTCACCTTACTAGTCCCACAGTCCCCCTGTGGTGTCCACATATATGTCTGTACACAGAAGTGGATTCTGCAAATGAAAGAAAACACTTAACACTTATCATCCTTTGGCCCTCTCCATCTTCTCTCACTTTTCATCCTCTCACTTTTAGACACTGCCCTCACTCAACAAAAAGCGAACTTTCATATAGATGAGGAAGTAAGAAATATTTGCATTTCTGGGTCTGACTTATTCTATTCACCATGATGATTTTTTCTAGTCTTTTCTGTTTTCCATCTGCAAATGACATACTTTCATTTTTTTTCACCTGAAGGACATTCCATGATGTATGTATGAGTATGCATATGTTACATATATAATATATATGATACCCATAAATGTTTAAATGTTTGGCCACATGTGAGATGAAAGCTGGAATTTCAATGACTCAGGAAAATGATAAATTCTGGCAATGCCAGGAGTTGGAAAGCCTGTCCATCAAAGGCACTTATATAAGCAGGTGGACACAAGTTTGCATTGGTAGATCAAGTTTAGGTTCAAGGCCTTGGGCATAATTTCCTCTGAGGACCCAGCAGTGCAGGAACATTGCAGTGGTGGAAAGGCCAGGAGGCATCAGAATGCATGCAGCATCGTTGCAGTAACTGCAGGTATGTGACAAGTGAGCCATATGAACATTTGTTCTACCTAAGGTGGGGGGAGGAGCACCGGGGAAGATGCAGAAGCCAAGCTTCTGATCCACTAGCCTTCCCTTGACTGGGGTGTCTTGAGCAAGGGAGCTTGAGTCATCCACAGGCTCTTTTACCTGAAGGCATGGGTGTCATGAGTTCACTAGACCCAAGATAAATGACAAATGGGTGTTTTATTGGGGAACAACTTAGAACAATAACAAACCACCACAGTCCTTCTCTGTCCTTCTGACCTGATCCTTCCTCCGAGAGAGAGAGAGAGAGAGAGAGAGAGAGAGAGAGAGAGAGAGAGAGA